TTTCATTTATTTATTTTTTAGAAAATAATTCATTTTCTTTCATTTTTAGAAAATAATGCTCCACTAGAAGCGAACTTTGCAACTGCCATGTTGAGTGGCAGCCGCCTCAAGCAAATACGTAGTGGCTACAAAACTTTAAAAATTTTACCCATATACTTCAAAATATCAATTTTTAACTACTTAAGTATATTTTATTTTGTACTAAACATTTGATTTTCCAATAAAAAAATTTGACAATTTGTGTACCCAAATCATCAAAATAACTCGACAGTTAAAAGGTTAAGTATCTGATGAGGTATAAGATCTCTAATTTTTTTTTCTACAAGAAAACTTATCTCTTTCTCAAAACTCCTTTTTTTTTTTTTTCTTTGCGATTGTTGTCATAACGCGACCTTTCACTACCATTGACAAATCATTTAAACACGAGATTAATGTATTTATTTTTTCGCTTTTTAATCCTACGCGCTTCATACATTGTTCACTTAATAAACATGTCTGAGAGCCTGAGTCCAATGTACATCGCACCGCTTCCCACTGCGAACAGTCATTTTTAATTAATGCTCGAACTGGAACCTTTGATAGTTCTGGTGTCAAACACGACATATTCTGAGACAATTCCTTTCGCATATTCACGATTTCAAGTTCTTTCCCCAATTGCGCTAGTTTGATTTTCTCTAAATCTAGCTTTGTTTCTATTTCGAGTTTTTGTAATGCAATTTTTGACTCGGTTTTGGCTTTATGTTTTTTCGCTTCCTCAAGTGCATACTCAACTACGCTTTTAACTAACTCAGGATCGGTTTTGAAAACCTTACTATTGTCGATGAAAATCACCGTCACTCATATGCACTTTGTAATCCAACAATTTTTCACATCATCCACAGGCCTCCAGCTCGACGGACCATATTAAGGATACTCTTACACAAAATAATCACATTTACTCTTTTACAGCTATAACTGTTTATTGATAACTTCAAATTGAGTTCACACAGCAGTTCTCAGCCATTCTCTTCATCTCATCTCTGCCGCTCTCTGCTCGAGGGTGCTGCTGCTACTAGAGCATGTGCAAACAAACTGTGTACTTCAGTAAAAAAGCAACAGAAAATCTGAGAAGTAAAATTACTGAATCTTGATGTTTATTCTTCATACTTGTTTGCAACGACATCTTTGCAGTATCATCAGTAGCTACTGATGAGGTAAAATAGGCAGTTACCACATCTGGTACATAATTGCAAATAACATCCTATGCTCATAACCTTTTGTAACTATATTATTTGTACTAATAATTACAAGTGACATCTCATTAATCAGAAGTACCAAATATTGAATTATGAATTGAAATTATGAAAAAATTATGAATTGAAAAATCACTCATGACCTTTTTTAATTATTATTTGTATTTATTCAAACCTGCATCTACCCTTATTTTTATCATGAACTTAGGAATTCTTTTTTAATTAAAACCTTGTCAGAATGGCCTTTTAGAATTCAGTAGCATGCTTGGTTTTTCATAATTGTTTCTAATTAATTAGTAGAATGGAAGGTGAATGCTTTCTGTAAAATAATAAATACGTATAGATCATAGCACCTCAATCTTTTTTTACTCATCACGCACTTTATGAAATCCTCCCTCTTTTTCACTTAGCACTTCCTACCCTTGCAAAAATGATATATTAGTTGTCTTTCAAATGTGATCTGTGGTTAGTGATTAAATATGCTTAAAAACTCTGAGGTATTTTTGTACTTACACTTCATTAAATTATTAATTAGAATTCATTATGTAATAAAAATAAATTAGATTACAAAGTACATTATGTAATAAAAATAGATTAGGCAACAATTAGATTTCTCAAAGCATGTATACATATGATGATCAACACATGTGATAAAACAAGCAGGTACCTGATACAGCATATTCAAGCAACCAGATTTTGCTAATGTGTCATTTTCCTAATCCAAATTTTTCTGATGTGTTCTTGCTCCTCGGTGCCCTCTTACTGACCATTGGACCAACAATGTCCCACTCGATTTCGTTAATGCTCAGTGCCTATATTTGCAAACTACAAACCACAGTGACATTATAGTATTTGCAGTTTTCATTGCAAAATCTCAAAAATAAACACTTATAGTATGTGTGAAAGCATGTTTAGTTTTATGCTTTGCAAATGCAAACCTGGAAGAAGTACAGTTACCCCCCCCCCCCAAAAAAAAAAGAAGAAGAATCATATTTTTTAAGTTAGAAGACCAACTTAAGAAACTACAGCGTATTGAGAAGAAATTGTTAAATATCCAGAATGAAAGAATGCTGTGCAGAAGTTACTCAAAATGAAATTTTTTGTTCACTGAAAGAGTGCTGCATTGAAGTTACTTAAAATGAAATTATTGTTAATGTTGCATAGAAGTTATTCAAAACGGAATTTTGCAATTGAAAGTATGCTGGACAGAAGATACTCAGTGAAGCAGCCAGAAAGCTGTAAAAGTATAATGGGAAAGTAATACCATCTGGAAACTTTTCCAAAAATTTGGACTCTGTAATGTTTAATTTTGAGATAGCAAAATCAGGTTACAACTGTTATCAAAAGCAACTGTTAAAATATATTGAGTGCCCTAAAAATCAAAATTTTAGGTTTTATTTGTAATTTTGTAGCTCTTAATTATCAGCTTTGTTAATACAAAAATAGTCATTTTCTTCATTAAAAAATTATTTTTTCTTTTAAGCTAAATTTGAAAATGAAACTGATGAATTTTATGTAATCCACATTTATACTCAAAAGAACATAAATTCCAGGTGGTATACAAAACATGTTATGAAATCATAAATGTACTAACCCTTCTTCTCTTTTTCTTAGAGAATCATGAAATCATACTATCCCTGACTAGCTTAACTATGACCTGTTAACTGCTTGTTTCTGGTCCATCTCCTTGGCATGTCTCTTTTTGCACTTATGCATATGTGTGGTTTCTTTAGAAGGAAGGGTTAGTGATGAGAAGGGGGATATTCTTAATACACAGTTCCAAAACGACAGTATGTACTAAAAGTTGACTTAAAATTGAGTGCAAATCTCCAGAACGTTTGGATAGAATGCCTAGTTAATGCTAACTAGCCCTTTTTAAATTCAGGCCTGTTAGAAGTTACCTAAAACTTGAAATATTGCTTAATATTTTTATTCTTGGCTGAGGAAGAAAAACTTCTTTGTGTGTGTGTCTCTGAGCACTGAACACCATTCTATGCCCAAGCATTTTTTGATATTAATCATAAACTAACACACACAAAAAACAACAAAATAAATAAAAAATAAAAATAAATTTTCATTTTATCAGATATATATATATATTTTATCCAGAAGATATATAATAATTTAATAACCACATAATTTTTTTTATATATATGAAGACAAAAACCTTATTCATACAATTAACAAACAAAACAAAAACAAAACAAAAAAAAAAAAAAACTGATATTAAGACAAAATGTAATATTGCTAGTAATGATTGTGCTTTTATGTTAAAATTATTTCTATACATTAATAAAGCAGAAACTTAATTTCCAAAGATAATACATATTATATCCTATTGCCACACCTATTCACAAAAATAAAAAATATGTTCATTAGTGAAACATTTTTAAACCGACTATATAGACAAGCATTGTGTTTTTCACATTTGTAATGTAAATTAATAAATATTATTCATTAAAAATGAATATTCAAGGAATTCCCTTTTTCAGTTTATCAAATATAATGCAGTAGGTTGCCAATGATATTTCAGTTCCATTTCACATATTTGATATGATGATTCTGTAAAATGTAACTGAAGCTTATGTTACGTGATATGTTAAGAGTGAAAAGATTAAGATATGTGTTGTTTGACATCAAGTTAATTCTTTCATCATAAAAAGTAGCAAAATAGTTTTTTTTTTTTTTTTTTTTTTTTTTGTAAATATATACAGTGGCTCCCAAAAGTGTTCGTATGAATATTTATGATTTTCATTGGAATAGGGCTCTATCCATTAATTAAAAGTAAACTTTCTGAATGAGATTTTAATACTAAGATCTATAATCTATCCGTAACAAAATTACATGAAATATTTTTAAAGTATAGTGAAACTTTTTTTTAAGGAATTAATAATCAAAAAATGACAAACATTTTATCTCACAAAAGTCTTCGTACACTTCAAAAAAATCTTGATATATTAGTAAATATTTTCATTTTTCCTTAAATTAATATTAGTAGGATATCCTTTAGCATCCACAACAGATTTTAAACGTCTGGGAATAGGTTTTTTTTTTTTTTTTTTTTTTTTTTTAATTTCTGTATCAATGTTTATCCATTCTTCCATCATGGCTGTTTTGAGTTCACTTTTTGTTTTTGATGTAATTTAGTAAATAAATAATACCCTAAACACCATGATATTTTTCAAAGTACTCGGTATACATTTAAGCAAGCATTTATACTCATACGCATATAATTCTGGGTAATAAATTCATATAAAAAATGTGAATAAGTATACTAATTCATAGGAAATTATAATTTTTTTCCAATTTAAATGTTAAAATAGATTTCTATGATAGCTATATTAAAAAATTGTTGTGTTTGTAATCAAATCACTAAAAAATTTTTACCGTGTTTAATTTAGGTTAAATACATACCCTTCACGTGTGATTAAGGGTTAAAAGCATTTTGTAAGTTTATAAGCAGTGCAGTTTGGAATACATACTATAAATTTGGGTGTAATATCAAAGCTTGCTTCCTCCCCAATCCCCTCTAAAAAAATTAAGAAATTAGAGAATCTTTTTTTCTTCAGTTGTAGATATTAAAATTACCTTGTTAGTTTTATATTCTTTGTAAATCATTACATATTCAGTTTTATTACTTATTGTATTCAAAATTGTAAAGACTTGCATTATATGTAAAATCATAAAAATGTGTAACATGCGTAAGTTTTTAACTTTTTATTATTTTACATATCAAACTTTTTGACACTTCATTTTAATGTTATCTAGTTTCACCACCATTACCACCTCCTCCTCCAGAAGATGAAAACTTGTATCATGAAAACTATAATCCTCCATCGCCACCAGCATTCCTTCGCAATCGAGGAGAACCAGATTGGGTTCCCAAAAATTATGTGGAGAAAGGTAAATTGTTATTTAGATACTGTGTAGAGAATTTTATCCATGTATCAAAGTATATCATACTACTAGCTAGATGAAAATTTTTAAGTAGCCTATCTAAACTGTGTTAAACAGCTGCCAGGTTTATAAATTTTTCAATAAAATATTCAATAAATAAGTAAATTTACTTCTAAATAATTTCATAAAAATTATTAAGAAAACTGTTCTAGTTTTATGATCTTGCATGCAAATGGATTTTGCAGTTTTTTGCAAAAGTATACCAGTTTAGTGATTTATCACCAAATATGTATTTAAAATATGTGTGTACCCTTAATTAGGGTTACCATTTGAATTCATTCTCTTTATTACATCTAAAATAAATTTTTCCCATATTGGAATATAGTTATTTGTTATGTGTTGCTAAGTTTGCCACTTTCTCAACATTTTAGCTGTTTTAAAATCAAATTGACTACTAGAATTTTGGTTTGGAGATTTAGAAATTTTATGATGATGTCTTTTTACAAATATAATCATCTTATAATTCATTAAAATTACACTTTTGGATCTGGCAAATTCAACAAATAAAACATTATCTTCTGCCATCTTTTAAAATATCTTCATCTTTCATTTCAATGACCATTGAAATTCTGATTCTGAAATTTAATTAAGGCAATAAAAATATATTTTAGTTGAAATTTTTCTGAACTTTTTTCCAGTAAAAGCAAAAGTGCTGGTGTAATTATTTTTAAATTAATTTAATTTGTTTAGTTTTCCATTTTTCATGATAAATGTTTTTCCGTACATAATTGTTAGAATTGTTTTAAAATGTTCAGGTATATGTCAGTTTTCTTTTTAAAATTCACTTTGCGCTTGTTTTTAATCCCCTCGTCCAAGTATCTTGATGTTTACTTTTACAGAACTGGCAGGTATAAATTATAATGGTGGTGTTAAGTTGAATACTGATAGCAAAAGAAAAAAAATGTGTTTTCATGCAATAAATAAAATTAGATTACTTAATAAAATAGAATCAAGCGACTGAAAAGTAATTTAACATACTTGCCACGTGTAATGAATTGAAAATAAGATGGTACATTTTTTGTATTGGCCTATGTTTTTAGGCACAATAAGTAAATTATTGAAGTGAAAATATAATAAGTTGTTCCATAGATCAAACGTGAATTTTTTATTTTCTTCCTCTTTAACTCAGCTCAGAAAGTTCTGTCATGTGATTTTAAATTAATATAAGTTAACTTCTCTTTTTATATGTCACAAAAGTAAGATTGTGGATGAAAGGATATTGCTTTGTTTTCATTGTCAAAATTGAAATAAAGCTAAGATTCTATCAGTCAGAAACAAATTGCTTTAGTACTTTTAAAATGTTTGTTGCTAACTTGATGGAATCATTTCAAATGTCTGAAAGAATATTTTTGTTAAAGGTAATGTTTCACTGATTTTTCATCTGGTATGCCAGTTAGAGATTGTGTAGGTACAATATCTGACATGCTGATGTGAGGACTACTTCATAACTGTGTCTCAGCACAAAGGTGTCTTTATGCAAGTGTGTCACTGTTTGAAAAGACAGAAATCATCAGAAGCATACTGCAACAGAAAGGTGCTTGCACCTTTTGCAGATCAGTTTCTAATTTGAATAACTAAACCTAATAATTTAATATTAACTGAATAGTTCTATAGAAATTAATACTTGTCATGTGGAATGATGTGATTGCTAAAGACTGTGTATAATTTTGATTTCTTAACCTATGTGTAAGTTTTTTTAAATTATTTCCAGTTGTGGCCATATATGATTATGTTGCTGATAAAGAAGATGAATTGTCTTTTTCTGAAAATTCCATTATTTATGTGGTGAAGAAAAATGATGATGGATGGTATGAAGGTGTAATGGATGGGGTAACAGGTCTTTTTCCTGGAAATTATGTTGAACCATGCTTATAAAAAGATACATTTATTTGTACATAATATTATATAACTATCCTTATATTCTTTAAGTTGTATGTGAGAAATTTTTAAGTAGTTAAATTTAATATATGTATATGTGTGATTATATATCTGTATTTTCTTACTTTTTTTACTATACAGTACTTCATTTAAAATCAAAAGTTAATGAATCAAACTTTTCTCAGAATCAGAAATCTGATAGCCATATTCAGTGTAAGACTTTGTTGTAATAATTTATTCATTCCAGACATTTTTTAATGGAATTGCATCAGTTGTTTTTCAAAAATACTTTCTTGTTATGATGTGTATTTTTGAGCATCCAGAAAATAAATATTTCTTATTTAATAATACAAAATGTTTATGTGTTTCTGTACTGACATGCTCATCAAAATATATCAGAGTAGTGATCTATGGAAGAAGTCGGTGGATATTTTTAATATCCACCGTGGGTGAATTTTAAAAACAAAAAACAGGAAAAATTAAATTCATGTTTCACAAGTTTAAAAGACACCCTGTTACATGGAGAGGTATTCTAATTATATAAAACTAATCAAAATGCAGTTTTCATAGATTATTCCTCTGTTATGAGAAAAAGTACTTCCATAATTTCCGTAAGAAAGGCCGCATCAGCATAAACGCCGCACTCGAGAAAAATGGTGGGGAAAAAATTAAAATTACACAGAAACGCCGCAATAGATTAAATTGCACATGACATCGTCGTGGGCCGTATAGATGCAAAAACTCAACCTAAGTCCTGATATATGACATACCAGTTAAGAGAAATGCATGAAATGAAACCATAACTCAAAAATATAAATTAAAGGTAAGAAATGTGGAAAATATATTTACCTTCACATATATACTTATATTTACCCATTAAAGAAGTTCATATTTGTAATACTCAGACTATATTATAAAAAAATGTTGCAACAACGAAATATTAAATTTGGATGACAAAAGGAAATTTTAAATTTTACTTACGAATTACAGCAAACTATACATCATATGAAGCCATTAAAATCTGATGCTTCACTATCTGAATTAAAAAGATTTAGTAAAGCCTGATCTAAGTCTTCCAGATCGTCACATTCATCCTCTTGGTTTACAGTCTCTTTATCTAAGGATATAATTTCAGCTTCTTTGAACCCTGCTATTATTGACGATGTTTCTACCGATTTCCACGCACTTCCTGCCCACTTTGCAATTTCTTCATAAGATGCTCTACGCATTTTACTGCTTTTGGTTTACGTTTGCAATCCTTCACTCATCCAACACTCCCACCGCTTTCGGACTTCAGCTTTGAAGGATTTATTACCTGACAAATCTAACGGTTGTAAGATTTTTGTCAAACCACCAGGAATTATTGCTTCAGGTCGTAGACAAATTTTTGACATCTGGTTTTTCACTGGACTCAAAGTAAATGAGCACACATGGAATCCATTATCAATAATTCTTTTGGTTGGAAAAAAAGATTCCTTACGACACTGCCAAACTTTTTGTAGCCACTCATGCATGATTGCTTTTGCACATCTAGCCGTTCTTGTTTGCACAAATAATTACATCATTAGGAAAATCTTCCTTTGGAATAGTTTTTCGTTTAAAAATTATCATCCACTTTAGCTTGTCACCGTTTGTGGCACAAGCTAACACACATGTAAATGACGTTCTTTCATGCCCCGTCATAAACACAGAAACAGTTTTTGCACCAGTTTCATCAACAGTTCTGTTTGCAGGAGAGTCGAAAGCTAACAGCGTTTCATCCATATTTATTATCTGCGACCAAAGAAGTTTTTTTTTGTCAATAATAGCTGTCAGATATTTTAGAAAAGATGACATTTTATCCTGCCAGTCCATTGGTAATTGTTGCCCGACTGTTGTTCTAGTACGCACAGAAATATTTTTTCTTTTCATAAATCTGCTACACCTCCTTTGAAATCATTTATGTTCATTTGTTTTGCTATAAATTTTGCTTGTAAGCGAATTTTTACAGTCGAAATTGCCATTCCCTTTCCTCGTTGCTCCTTTATCCAGTTTGCAAGGTCGTCCTCTTGATTTGGCCACCTTACAGTACCACTTCTTTTGGCTCGTTTCTGTTGTGGCATATTTTTAAGAAGTTCTTTTTCAGTTCTCCAACGTCGAATACATCTGTCGTCCACTTCAAACTCTTGAGCTGCTGCTCGATTTCCAATTTGTTCAGCACATGAAATTACATTAAGCTTAAAACCAGCAGTATAGCTTCTGTGCCGTTTAGGGACATTTTCAAAACTTTCTGCTCCCTTCTTACTTAAAAACTATCCAACAAGTACTTGTACCTAAACTGATGGGATCTGTATCTGGCAGAATGCCAAGAAAAATCCATTCATGCTGAAGGGGAAATACGTCAGACTTCATTATTGCGAGGCAGGTGGAGTCTTCTCCGCCTTTCATAAAAAGTTGCAGAAAAGGCAGGGGTGGGGAGAGGATGGGTCATGGAAGATTCATCGAATGGCAGAGAAGAGAGACTATTCGAAAATGATGAGCAATGCTTGATTTGAAAGGGGGGAAAATGTTATTGTTCTGAGATTCTCATTTAGGGTAAATAAGGCATGCAGATCTGTTCAAGGGAAAGAATGTAAACAAAATAACGTTCACAAAAAGCAACTGAGTGGTCTGTGTGGGAACAGCACCAGTCTATGCATAATTACAAGGCCATCCAAACTATGTACAATGACCATCATAGGAAATATTTTATTTTTAGTGCACCTAAATGCCACATGGGTTGAAATGCCGCACACGCTGAAAATTTAAGTTTTAAACACGTAAACGCCGCGGCGTTTCTTCCGGAAATTACGCTAATTGTTTTAAGTTAACATATTTTAACAACAAGGTCACATTAGACTTTTTGACTTCCTTTGGTGTTTCAAATTTTCAGTAATTGTTGGTTTTACTGGTGATCAGCAAGGAATCGATAAATGATATAGCACACTAAAATTGAGCAATATGAATTGTGAACTCTTATTATTATTTAAAAAAATTCAAAATGATGATAATTTTCAGTTTGCATGATTCAAGTAAAAATGAAGTTATTGCATTTTCCCCAAAAAGGGTATTTTGCCCTGCACTTAGATTTCTAAAAAAAGGCATGAAATGAAGATACATACAACCATGGAAGTCATAAGCAAATGCAGTGTAAAATATTTTCGCAAAAAGAAAGCTCTTCACGTTAGCCAGCTGGTTCACTGCTTGCAGACAGTGGTAAGATTTATGTTACTGAATTTTTTTTAAAGATTGCCATTAACATTCCCTTATTTATTTATTTTAATTAACATTTTTGGTAAGTCTCTTAAATTTGTAGCCCCCCTGCTGTTTTGTCACATGTAAAGTAGAGAAGTATAAAATTTTGCTTTGTTATAATTCACATATAAGTGAGATTTTGTGTACTGGAATTTTAAAACTGAAAATATCAAGAATATTAGACAAAAAAGAAATTGTCCAACAACAAAATGAGAGAACTTCCCATCACTTATTTTAATTACATCTCAGAAATTAAGGACTATTTTATATTTATTACAAATATAGTTTGCCAGGTATAGGTATTTATGATAAGGCTGGAATTATTTTATAGTATGAAGGACTATAAAATAGAATAAAGGAAAGAAGGAATAAAGGATCAAAATCTGTGGACGAAAATAAATAAGGATTTGGTATATGCTTGTATTGCCACTAAAACAGTTATTGAATGGAATTTACAATAAGGATTTTTATGATAAGCTTTTGATGTCTTTTAGGCAATTTAAGCTTGAAAGTAGCATTCCTTTCAGTCTAGAATATGGTGGCCACACCAGGACAGCGCGCTTATCTATGATGGTGACCTGTCATAGATAAGGTGGCAGTTTAATGATAGTCTATAATTGTTCAAAAAGAATGCTTCACAAGGTTGCCTTTGCATGAAATTCTGTATCTGAAATTTCATTTGTGTTCGTGAATTACTGAGTACAACTGTTATTTTTGTTTTTCCGATTTGTATACAAATACGCAAACTGAATGTACAGTAAAATTATAGCTATGTATACAAAAAGGAATATTTAAGAGGGATGGAAATTTTAATATTTCATATTACTTAAATAAATTATTTTGTGATTTGTATAAAAGTTATTGATATATTGTTGAAAGAAAAAAGAAAAGAAAAAATTGATAAACGTTGTTGAGACTATGATTGGGAGGGGGAGTGATCAGAAAAGCATAAAATTTTCAGATTCCATTGAACATGTCAGATACGTCTTCAATATATAGATAAATGATCTAACAGCTGCAGTAAAGGACCAGTACCCAATTATATTATCAGATATTTTCTGTAGGATATCTTTTTTCAAAAAATATATATTAAATAGAGACTGTAGAAGACATGCCTGTTGATAGCTATATGACAACTCACTAATCAGATGTGCAATGTACAGACATGAATTTAGCTTACAAGAGTGTAAAAAGTAATTTGGTAGGAACATAATGCTTGCATCAGATGGCATATTCTATCTGACAGTACCCTGGCATATTCTAGATGCTGCACTAAGCTGAGCCTGTTGTATTCAGTGCATATAGATTCTAACAGTTGCTAATTACCCAAGTTTGTGCAGTAGTTGCAATTGAAAATTACCAGAAATCCTACATTTGTTGCGAACAAAATGTTAAGAAATAAAGCATTGTTTCAGCTTGATGGTATGACTGACTTTCACAGCATGGATTATTAGTTGATAATCTATTTACATGCCTTTGCCCAGATCAATATTATGCACATTTTCAGTTGAATATGTGACATCATCACTGCTATTCTAATTGGATTCTGTTTCCTTCCATTCCACCAAAGAGCTCAACTTTTTATAGTTGTGTTTCTAAAGTGTCTTTTGGAGATGCACTGTTGCTGTTGGATGATATGTGCCTAGCCATATATCAAGATAATTCATACATGATAGGCATATCATACATTATGAATATATCATGCATGATGAAATGATGCACATTTTGTGCAGAATGTTCAATGAAATCAATTGTGCATGGGATGGATAAGGTAGCATACATTTGCATTGCTAGCTTGACTTCTTGTAATGAAGCCATTGAATTTTTCACATGAATAACTTGACACCAGGATTTGTGTACATCTTGTTGTTACTTCAGACAAATTTATAGCAGATTGAGGCCATTGTATATGTGTCAAAAATTTTCTGGATTCTTTAAGCATATCTTTCAGTTAATGAGATCAGACTTGTGCCACTACTGAATGGCTTTCATTTCAAACACTGATGATTATGTCTGTATGTGTTCTGATCATTCATTTCCATGTCAAATATTTTGTATTTTAGACAGCTACCAATCTTTCTTGTTCCATAAACTGAAAATATATACATTTCACTCTGTATTTACAAATATTTTCTGCTTTTACTCATAGAATATCTTCCTAAAATTTAGCAGCTCAACTCGTAATAATCATATATTGCATTACATTTGAATTTCTAAGTTTGTATTGCCTTCAGTGTTTCTGAGGTCATATTCTAGTGTTAAAATTTGATTTAGCATTCATTTTCAACCAAATGATAAATATCATTTCTTTTATCACAGATTTTATAGAAAGAGCTATATTGAGGTTTCATTTGTGTTATCTTCTGGTATGTGTAAAGATGAATTGCTGCAGTTTAAAACTGTACGCTTAACTCTATGATGAAATGAGCTTCGATTACTTTCAATCGTTGAATATCTGTCATGGATTTCCACTTGAATTCTGTCTGTGTTTATAGTTTCCAACTCACCTCTGCATAAATGATGAATAATTCCAGCCCCATATCCATCACCCAGGACATTAATTGAAGTTCTTACACGATCTCTGTAAAATATAATTAGATGTATTGAACTGCAGTTTTCATTAATACAATAGTTAATAACATAAAACATTTTTATAATAAATTTCTCTTATAATTCTAATTTGGAACTGTGCATTTAAAATTTATAATGATAACATGAAGTAAGTATGCAGAACTCCATCAAATCGAAGATGTAAGTGTTGACAAGTAAAATATTGTCATTAATTTTTACCAATAATAAAATGCACCTGCAGTAAAAAATGCATAACAACCTACAGTTAATTTGTTATGTTGCTTGAAGTAAAGCAAAAGTCGGTTTCATTTTACTTCAAACAATATAACAAATAAGAGTTGAATTACATGCACATTTATCTCAAGTCTGAATTCATACTTTTACATATAGTGGTTAATTTAACAAGAAACTCATGAAATATGTTGAGATTGCTGAGCTTTTAAAAGAGTGTAAATAAAAATATTATCTATATTTTGATGTATTAAAATGATTAAGTTGAATCATCTTTATGTATATCATGTTTTTTAATAAAAAACAATAAATAAATAAACATGGTGATGTAGCACCATGTTTATTACATGATTTTTAGCATTACAGAATTTCAGACTCCAAAAGAATTTTTCACAGTTTGAAATTTGCACGAAATTTTATTGATCAGGCTCTCCTTTAAGCTTCATGTTAATGAAGAAATACTTCTTAAAATTTTTTCTTGCTGATCAAGGAATAAAATTAATAAATAACGTTACTTCTACTTACAGTAGCCAATCAACAGCAACAATCATTGAAATATCTTCAGTTGGTAATCCTACAGCTGTCAATACTAATAACATTGTGACAAGACCAGCACTTGGTACACTTGCTGCTCCAATGCTTGCAGCAGTAGCTGTTAAACTGAGGGAAACATATTAGAAAAAACCATTTAATAAGAATAAAGTAGCAAAGAAAATTTATTTCATTGTTAATTAAACAAGCTAACAAAAACTGAGGAAGGAAACCAAGCAATAAAGAAGTATAATTCTAGTGTAAACAAGAGAATAATCTTTCCTGGCATCGTATATGATCAGTTGTGAATTTCATATCAGACTTAAAAATGTGATTAAGATTGACATGCTGAAACCATATTTACATAAATAAAAGTGCAGGAACTTCTGCAAATGGGCCAACTTTTTCATTAGTTGAAACAGGACTAGATGGTTTCAAAACATTCTAAGTCTTTTATTCCTTTTTGCAGGGTTGCTGTACTTGGAATAGTTGTCCAGATATACAGTACAAAGTCTGAGATCTGGACTCGTCAGGACTTCGATTCATTATTTGGGATTTTTCCAGATATTAGATCATTGGTTTAAGATGGCGTGTAGAAATTATAAAATTTAAGTATGAAATTGTGATTTATGAAATAATGAAGCATTTGTGATTTAAAGGGATCAAAAGTTACAAAAAAAACTTAATATTTATTTGTTTACTTTATTAAACATTTCTTTGAATGTAAATTGTTCAAGTTGCTTCGTTTTTGTGCTAATACTTTCTCTTCAATTCTATAGACAGACATAATTTCATGTTCAGTTATAAAGTTTCGCTGTTCAAGTCATATAGTTGCTGAGTCAAGAATTCCGAATAACTTGTCAATAGAATTTTTTTTGTTTTTCAATAACCCCTCTGTCAGTTTCTTCACTCTCAGTAGTGGCATTTTCTGGATTTAGAACCATACTACAGATTTTGCCATCCATTAATTGATTGATGATTGCAGCATTGCCATCGCAAGGGCTTCTGTTGTATCATCTTCATTTAATACCACTTCTCCATATTTCTTTACAAACTCCATTAATTGTAAAATTTCACCTGTGTTTTGCGATATTCAAAAGCATTCAAATCCGCGGCTCTCATCGTCATCATCCTCACCATGAAATATGGTAGCTGGCCATAAATTATGCCAAGCATTTTTTAAAGTATCTCGAGGAATATCTTCCCATGATCTTGCGATGCTCCACACAGCAGATTTTAAATGCTAAAGTATTTAAAAAATTCTTGAATAGTCTTGTCATTATTCAAGAAGTTTAATATGGATTTTAAAAATACTGCTTTATATTTGCATTTCAGCGTGCACACTATTCCGATATATATATAGGCTGAATGATGGGTGTACAGTTTATTGAAAAGAATAACAGGGATACATTATTATTCATTAAATCTTTTAAGTGAAATATTAGCCGAACAGTTATCTATAATCAGGATAATTTTTGTTTCATCAGGTAAACCAACTGAATAAAATTTTGCCGAGCCATTTGGGTATGAAATGAATTTCAAACCAATCATAAATTAATGTTTGTTTCATCTGTGCTCTTTTATTTGCACAATATAAAACGGGAAAATCTTTACTCCTTTAAATGCTTGAGATAGTGTATTTTTTAGAATTCTGAAAGGTTTATTCTTGTGTGTTCCTGCATCATTTGTGCATGCTAAAATTTTTAGTCTAGCTTTGGAATCTTTGACACCAGTTGCAGCCTTTTCTGTAGAGATTGCCAAGGTATTTCGAGGTACATGTCGCCAGAAAAGAGAGTTTCATCTGCTTTGTAAATTTAAATTTGTCCTGGAGATAACGTTTCACTATAAATGAGTTAAAAATAGTTCAGTAGCTTCAGTATCAGCTGAAGCTTTTTCACCTGAAATTTTTAATTGCATTATACAGAAGAAGTCCAGAAATTCGCAAAGCTTGGGAGCAGAGGTTGTGTGGATTTTAGGATTTTGCGGATTTCATGACAGAAAAGATAAATCATACTATTCAGACTAAAAGTACAAAATAAATAAGGCATATCAGATACATTTAATTAAATTATTATATACATAATTGCGATAACTTATTATATGTGTTAAATTATTATTACATATATAAATTGATTATATTATTCACTGTATTATATATACACAGCATCGAGGTTTGCCGATTTCGCCTCATGCAAAGATTTCCGGTTTCGGATTCCAGTGTTAGAATCACTGTTGCTATAAAATTTCAACAGCTTTTCTTTATTTTTCCATATATCATACACAATCGTATCACAATTCCATATGGTTTTGCTAAAAAATGCACCTGTCTCCATCTTTTGCAGAATTTGCACTTTATGCATTACCGTCAATGCAATGTGTTTACGTTTTTCAACGTTGCAAGCAGTAAAATCATGAGTGTGTTTCTTATCTGTAATTATATTAAAAAGGGCTGAAATTTAAAATATTCTTAATTTATCCACAAAATATCCGGATAAAAAAAGGCAGCACTAAATAAAATAATCTCGTGACATAACAAAGCTCAGAAACTACAACAACATGAATCGTGAACCTGAAAGAAGAGTTGAGTGAATCAGCTGCTTTCTTACCTCGATGCAGATTAGAGGGGTGGAATACTTTTAGTCTATCATTATTGCAATAATGTGGTATATCCGTTATGACTAATTATTATTCGGTAATTATGATGTCATTTTTTGATAAGTATTTTTTCTTCGATATTTCGTACTCAGTGTTGTGGTTTCCAGAACCTATAAACTGAATATTTATATTTTGAGAGGCAATGCAGATTTCAGGTCTGCGGATTTTCGGTATTTGACTGTACCATGGCAATTTTAAAATTTGATTAATCAATCTGTCGAATATGTGTACTCAGTTCTTAAATTCATTTCTTCATGAAATATTTGGGCTTGAGCCATTAGCATTGGATCCATCAATGGCACACCCTTGTTGAGACATTGTCCGACCATTCAATCATCACTTTGTCATGATCGTCACTTTTAGCATAGCGAATAATTTTTCGATTGTTCATTGCGAGTGGGGTGTCGGAATTCATAAAGTTTCTTTTCCTGTTATGTCATGTTTAGTTAGTTGACTTTCCAATGCCATATTCCTCACATAATTTTGAGACGGATATACCTATATCCATTTTTACAGCAATTCTGCTTTCTGTTTAATGGACATCGAAATGTGTTTCTTTCGCTTTGTAGTCTTGTTGCAGCTCCAGAATTTGAAAATCTTTTCAACATAATCAAAAGGTTTTCATAAAATTGCTGTAATTATAACAGCCTGCAAAAAAATAATAAACTGGATCAAATCAGAAATTTAAGAAATGGTGCAATGTGCTATATTAACTGAAATTCTTTGGAATCAGTGAAGTATAATTTTAGCCTAGCTTAACAGCATCCTCTATACATTATTGGCTATGTAACATGAGATTGGTGACGAAAGACAAGTTGTTCCATTAAATTTTGTCTTGCTTCTATCGCCCAATGAAACAATTTAACCTGAATATTATTAATTTGGTTATTTATTATACTTACATCTATTTCTTGCACATGCTTAAGGCTTATCTGAATCCTGAATAAATAAATTTCTACGTATACTTAAGCTTACTGAGGGCAAGCGCTAGATATTTTGCAGCTGATGCTCTGTGGGTCCTAAATTTTGCTGCCAAGCACCCCAAGTTCTAAATTTTTGCTACCTCTTAATTTTAGGTCCCAGTGCTTTCCCTAAATTATAAAAATTTTATCATCCCTTAATTTTGTTACTCGGTGCTTCTCTAATTTCCAAAAATTCGTCTTCCCGAAATTCTCCTGCCCGGTGCGGACATATGATCTCTGGTGCCAGTTCTGGGTTTATGTGAATAAAAAATCATTATTCTTAATTCAAATAGCATTAAATGTAATCTTTTGCCCTATGATAATCACTGATAATCTTGGACATTGCACTGTATAAAAGATTGAAGGAAAGGTCTCTCTCTGTCCATGAATGAAAGAAACCAATAAGACTTTACACATGTTGAAACCATCCATTCCAGCTCCTGCTGACAAAGCCGACAGGTCATCCGCAAAAGCTCCTATATTTATAATTATGCTTAAATATTGTTCTAACATGTCAATCTAGAGCATTTTATCTCATTTTTAACTTCATTTTAACCATGTTTACCAGTTAATTTTTAAATATGTTTATATCAGACTGTTCAGATTAATTGGCACTTTAAAAAAAAGTTTGTAAGCAAATCCTACTTCAATGGATCAAGATTTTATGCCCATAGATGAGAAAGAAGGCTCTGTGTAACTATCTTAACCAGGGCTTCTTAAACTTTTTTGATCTCGACTCCTTTTTATCACTGAGATTTTTTTCTTGACCCCAGGACCCCATAATAATATTTACAAAAATTTTATGGGACCCCATAAGCATTGCGCAAATCCGACACACGCGTGAGTGAAACTGTCAATTTTTTCACTTGTACTGTAATATACTATTTCAGTTTTAGGTCATTAACTTTAATTTCTAATTTTAAGGCATAGAACAATGTGAAAATTTTAAATACGTAACAGACGAAATGACAGCATCACTTGCAAAGCAAGTAAAATGAACATTTATATTTATAAAAAGGGTGCGTTGAAACGTTTTTGTTTTTTTTCTTTGTCTGTATTGTCTTTATATATTTTCAGATAAATTGTAAAATTATTATAAGATACCAAAAGTGCTAACATTTTTCCTTATACCCTGCTGTAGGTCCTGCGACCCACAGTTTAAGAAACTCTTCTAAACCATAGTCGTGCAAATTTATTTGCATTATGCTTATGTTACTGTTTAAATAACAATTAGCTAAACATATCTATATTTTTTATAATAAATTCTTCAAATGCGATTAATGAAACAAAATTTAAGTCAGGCCTTTGAATTCATTTAAATCACGGAATTTTTCTATTTGAGCAAATTGTAAATATTCGCGAATTGCCAACTCTTCCGATTTAGGCCGTATTTTCGACCACTCTCCCGCCAACCCGATTTACAATATATTTCTCCTGACTTTTTTTTATTCTTAAAATTTCCCATGATTTTTATGGAACTTGGCTTAATACTTTGTTATGTGAACAAAAAAAAAAAAAAAAAAAAAAAAAGTGATTTTGGACGTCTGAAAGCAATTGTATTTTCTCTAGATTATGTCTAAAACAAAACCTTGTGAATCAGACGAGAATTTCTGCTTTGTGAGCGTATCCAGAAACGTCGTTTTCCAATGGGCATCGAGCTCCACTGCATGTCATCTGGCATATATTAGCCAATGAGCATAAAGTGAGCTCAAGGCTGTTACTTGGATGTTCTTTAGTTATTGTGTTCATCTTGTTCTGAGTTGTGTGAGTACATGTGCCTTCGGGAAATAGTTTTAGAAATTATCATCTTTTGTTATTGTGTCTGCGAGAAAGGAGAAATACTCCTGTACATTTCAAAAATAGTACAAAAAGAAAGGAATATTATTCCTTCCTTTTCGTGAATATTATAAATATTAAACAAAATTATTTTTCCAAGCATTTATTAAATAAATATATTATTATCTATTAATTACCTAATTGATATTACTTGGCCTGCTGATAGCGATATCCCATTCATTTGTGCTATGAAAATAGCAGCTACTGCTTCATATAAGGCAGTTCCATCCATATTAACTGTCGCTCCAACTGGAAGAACAAAGCGTGTTACTCTTTTGTCGATGCCATTGTTTTCTTCCAAACAGCGGAAAGTGACTGGTAAAGTAGCTGCACTACAGAAAACAAAAATACTTAATTATTCCCATCTTACATTGTACAATTAAGAATAATATTAATATTAGAATTGCATTTGCATCGCTACTTAAATTTAGTTAGAGCCCAATTTAGTCTCTGGAACTTCTCAATTTTGGAACAAAATCACGTAAAATAAGATAAATTTCGGTACTTTGCTGTAAATGTCAGAATTATCAGAAAATTTAGCTATTAATGCAATATTTCATTTAACAATTAGTAAAATTGATATTGATACCAATTAAATGAATGATGCACTTATCGTGGGAAAAGAAAAGTATGCTGGAAAATTAGGACCTGGGAAGAATCTCCCATATCAAAATGTGATTCTTTCAGGAAGAAAAAAACTTATGTATTATTACCTTCTGTTCTAAGAGATGTTGGTTACACTCACCCAGTCAAAAAGCTTATGACACACTAACTTTTAATTTAATTTATTATTTATTTTATTATCCCAAAGGGGAAATTTGCCCAGAAGGACTGTTAATTTTGTTTTGGCATTTTGCGTTGATTCACCATAAAAATCTGAATCATTTTTCAAATTGTTGCCACAAAATAGTAGTACCCAGCATTTTATTTAAAGAAATTATATAATGAAGAAGCTGCATGAATGTATGTATGTTTCTCATGCTGTGAAAAAACAATGGTACCTAGAGCCATCATATTTTGAATAACATAGTCCTCCACTTGAATATGGGCATTCCATATCCAAATTTGGACTTGGAAGCCGAAATTTGGAATTATTTGAATTTATTATCTATTTCGTATTTTGTAAAACTTTAATGAATTTTTGATATACAAACTCACGGATTTCAAAGCGAGCAATGGCAACACTGTAAATGCCCCCTCCCCCCCAAAAAAAAGAATTGTCTTCAGCACGCAAGACTGTATATCGTAAATTCTAAAGATATGCTCTTTTTAAATTTTTTGTAATACTGCTGTTGAACTGAATTTTATACTTTTATATGGATTTTATATGGAGTGTGAAGAACATGATATTTAATAAATAAAGATAGCACACAAAATGTTAAAAAAAGGCTCTTTAGCCATAATATAAAATCTGAACTTCAGAATTTTTTAAAAATAAATTTTAATTTTATGTTTTGTTCAGTTTTACTCATTTTTGTTATTTTTTATTTTGGTTCAGTGCTTGACTGACTTCTATAAGACTCTAATCTTTGAAATTAAGCCTTGATTTATATAAAATTTGTTATTAGTATGTTTGTAATAATTATTAGGTATTAGAATGTTTGTAATTTTCAGTTATTACAGAATATTTTTGCATATTTTTTCACAATCATGTTTGTGATTTCTTTAATGCATACATTCTGCTTGAATAGATAAAGCTACTTTTTTTTAATTGCAGTGAAATTGCATCCAATAATTAGCTACAGTTGCTAATTGATGATATATGAGATTATCTTCAGTATTACAAAAATGCATTGTCTAATATGTAATTATTCAATTAAAAATCCTTAACATGCATTAATCAGTTAAAAAATCATTCTACCTGGATTTCTTGATAATGCTTTGATGCAAGTATCATTTTATACCATGAATGTTATAGATAAAAAAAAGTTTTCAAATACCCTATGTTGAAATTAGGTGAGAAAAGCAACTTGAGATTAGTGTAGGTTTTGAATAAAACTCTATCAATTTCAAGGGTGACCAGATAATTTAAGGAGTAAAAAAATGTTTTGTAAAGATAGCGGGAGTGACAACTATTTTATATGGAAATAAAATATGAAATTTGTAAAATAGATGGATATAAAAAATAATTACTATACATTTAAGTATGAGAGACATTACTATACATTCAAGTATGAGATTACCATTTAAATCAGGTATTTAATTATTTTATTCACAATTTTTGTCTTCTTGGTATTTGGATTATTATTAATTTGATTATATTCTAAAATAAATTTTTGTGGCTTTTATTTTATGTAAATCATCAGTAATCCATATAAAGGTATATGATTACTGAGAAATATTTTATTGTGATTGATTATGCAACTTAAAATTGCTGCAGCAGAATATTGATATTCATACCTTTTGGAAGTAAGCATTTCCTGTTTGCCATGATGCTAAAAAATGAGATTGTGAGCCTTTATTCATGAGTAGTTATAAACAAAGTGCCCTCCAAATACTCTCTACTTTTGAGGTTATTCTGTTTCCCTATTCAATTCTACAATATTTCCAACTTTCCTCTTTGTTGATTTGTAGGATTCCTGTACCACAGGGTAGAGTTTCTTTCAGAAGAAACACATTTTGAAGGGAAAAAAAAAAAAAAAAAAAGGAACAGTTGGAACCCATGGAGTTGCTACTTAGGATAAATTTACTAATATTAGTTTATATGTATGGCACAAATTCTTAATGATACTTATAAAATTTGTTAAACAGCATTTTGCCGGACACAATGTTATCAAAGACCTTGTTATAGATTTTTGCAATTTGAAATTCTCTACCAATAACAAGTACAATAAATATTACTGCAAAATCAACTTCCTACATCCAAACTATGACAATATACAGTTCAGCAAAAATTTCAGAAAATGTCAACAACAATTTCCAGCTACTAAAGTACAAATCTCACCAGCTTTCAAGTATCAAAAACCTCTTATCAAATTGCTAATTAACCACCATGATCTAGCTTCTACAGCCCATTGATACTGCAAAGAGCTTCGATATAAAGACTACGTAAAAGAATTTCATAAACATATTGTTACTGGCAATTGAACAATAATCAAAATCATAACAACAACCTTGTATTTAGCGTAAGTATATTGAAACACTCAATCGATTTCGAGGGCAGCTAAAGGTCCCTCCTCATCAGGAGAAAGAAATACCTAGAAAGAAGAAAAATAAAGGGTGAAGGAGTCTCAGAAACACATGGTCCTTATCAGCACTGCACGTGGTTATAACCAGATTTTTAATCCGAGTTACACTGGCTGCCTACTTTTACTGAGCCAGGCTATCTGATCAAACATGTAACACAAAGGACAAGAAAATTAGCGAAGTTAAAAATAGGGAGCGAGGGGCAACTGCAACCTTCACGCTCAAAATCTGAACCTCGAATGTATATCTGATTAACTGATGTACCAGTGTAACTCTGATTAAAAGTCTGATTATAACCACGTGCAGTGCTGACAAGGACCACGTGTTTCTGAGACTCCTTCACCCTTTATTTTTCTTCTTTCTAGGTATTTCTTTCTTCTGATGAGGAGGGACCTTTAGCTGCCCTCAAAATCGATTGTTTCAATATACTTACGCTAAATACAAGGTTGTTGTTACGATTTTGATTGTCACATTAGCGTGTTTCTCTTCTAGTCTAATTTAACAATAGTTCAAAATCAGCTTTTAAGAAATTTAATGGAAAAAGGCACCAAATTTAGACTAGCTTCTACAGCCCATTGATACTGCAAAGAGCTTCAATACAAAGACTACGTAGACGAATTTCATAAGCATATTGTTACTAGCAATTTAACAATAGTTCAAACCAGCTTTTAAGAAATTTAATGGAAAAAGGCACCAAATTTAGATCAGTACTGAAAATGACAAAAATCACAGTTTTAAAAGCTTCGAAAAAAATCTAGACAAGTTCATAGTTAAAACTAGTTACAAATTAAATATTCCAAATTCTACCTTTAAGGCTTGGAAGCATGAAGTGTTTGTTGGAAGAAATGAAGCAAAGGATTGAATGTAACAGCAATTTACCATGGAATTTTCTCAATCCTATATTGCAATATTTGAAACAAAAATTCATAATAACCAAAATTGACAAAGCCAGTAATAATTTCAGCATTATTTGAAATTTTTTTTATGTCTCACTAATTAATGCCGAACTGAATAATGCCATTACTTACAAACTTACCAATACATAAGAAAATATCATTGCAAAAAAGCTAAAATCAATTCATAAGAAACTACAAATTTCACAACCATCTAACCACAATAGATTAGCAAATCTATATGCTCTTCCTAAATTCCATAATTCACCACTCAAATTTAGATTTATTGCAAATGGTACAAATAATTATTATAAAAAGAATATAGATTACAAATTTGCTATTAAATTTTAAAAAATCTGTTTTTGTGATGAATTACATCAACTAGTTACAAGCAACACAACTATAGTTGGATTATTTATAATAATGCTACAGTTCTCAACAAATTTAAAAGTTTAGAAATCAAGAACATTAACTGTTATGACTTTGAAAACATTTATACTTCTCTACCATTAGAAGAAATTTTTACTAGATTAATGCAACTCCCACAACTTTTTCCTGACATGCTTAACATCCTTTGAATTAAAAGATAGAAAACTTCCCTGAATTGTGCATTATTTAATAACTACATTAAATTCAAATAATAAGATCTTTCAGCAGGCGAGAGGAATACCAGTGGGAGTTCTACACAAATATGTAACCTATTTCTTTTTGCTTATGAATATAAATTCCAACTAAGTTTGAATAACAATGAATTAAAATTATTTGCAAATACATTTAGATACATTGGTGATATTATAACTTTCAATAATAATTCTGCTTTTGAAAAATTAAAATTTACCCAAATACAGGGTTCGTAGCGGTCCTTACAAGTCCTTATAAGTCCTTATATTTAAAAATAAAAAATAAAAGCCTTATAGGTGATTACTTTTTCTCTAAATCACTTATTTTATTTATTTATTTATTTATTTATTTGTTTTTGTTTTTTAGTGCTTATTTTTGGCATTTATTGCCCCCCCCCTTTTTTTTTTTTTTTTGTTGTTGTTGTTTACCTAACACACGTTTTTTCCCGTACTAAAGCCGAAACTAAATAAACAACTTTTCTTCCTTATATGGAGCGTCAAATGGTAAATCATACTCCCAGAAATAGCTTTTCGCCCTTTTCTGTGCATTAACATAATAACATAACCTTTGATACACGCGAGTAAGACAGGTGCACGTCACTCTATTGGTCAAAGAATTGCGAAAGCGGTAGA